CTCTCATTTTGATTAGTGTGTTCTTACAAGAATCTTTCAGTAAAAGAAGCTTAATTCACTTCTTCTCATTGAACTAATTACATCTCTGAGTGATTTTCTCTCACTCCCTTTATCTTTTTCACTTCACACTTTGTCTTTTTTATCAGCGTGCCTGCATTGCCCTCGGTGGGAATTTGGCTTCAATTGCTAACCTAGGTGAGCACGACTTTCTCAAAGCCCTGATCAACAGAGTGACTGACAAAAATGACCAAACTTGGGTTGGAGCCCATGACACGACAAAGGTGAGTGATTTGACAATAAACATGATGTGATGCAGCTGTTCCCTGTGAGCCCGATACTGATTCTGTTTTTAATGTGGTAGCTGCATTGATGAGAGTCTGACGTGTGATTTGGACTACATGATGGAATAATATAATTTTTGTGACTGGACTGAACTGACCCTGAAAACTTTATTTCAGGAGGGTGTGTGGATGTGGAGTGATGGTAGCAAGTACACAAACTTTAATGGTCTGTGGGGTCCAGGAGAGCCCAACAACGGTGGCGGGAAGGAACACTGCATGGAGATGAACTACAGGGGTACGCACTGATTACCTGTTATAAGATGAATCAGTAAGTAAAATAATCATTCTGTGCAACCCTAATTGTTTCTTTTTTAACTTTTTAAATTCTAGGTAAACCTAACGACAATGCTTGCACCATAAAGAAACCTTATGTTTGTGGAAGGCACCTGTGAAGATCCCCGCCATGTCCATGTCCTGACACATCTGCTATGGTGATGTCACATCCCCACTGATGATGTCACTTCTGCCAGGGTGTCAAGCCTCGATGACATCACTGCAAGAAGATATATTGACACTTCTGATTTATGAGTTGATTCAATAAACAGATAAATCCTGTTCAGCAGTCTGTCTCACCTCTTTATAAAAGATCAGTATTTTCATGTGGACATTTTGAAAATAAAAATCAGTTGATCATTCAACCGGTTCATCTTCTGCTCAGTCAGTGGAGGAGTGTCGTAGGAGTGGCAGAGTATAGTATTATGACATACAATTCTGAAAACCTTTTTTTTCCCCTTTCAAATGAATCAAACATTCCGTGTTCCCTCACTAAATTCCGACATTATTGTGGGCCTTGAATGCAGCGCAGGCAGAGCTCTCCATGAATTCTTTCTTTACTCATCAGCACTTTGTGAGTCACTGACTAGATAATTGATCTGTCACTCCATTCAGAGCTGACCTGATCAAAGCAGATCGATGGAGCGAAGCAGCTGCTGCAGAGGCAAGTTAGACCCAGTACAATGAACGATAAACTTTTACTTTCAATGTAACTAACTTTCTGCTGCTCCATGTTTGCCAAGCACTCCAACAGTGTGGTGCTATAAGTAACCTAACACACACACATATTTCAGCAGGGCTCCTAATGAATGGTTAGCGCCAAAAATAGAAAATCTATTTGTGGTGGCAGATGTTTTGATTGTGGCAGGTGGCCACAAATAAACAAATGTGTGGGGAAAACCTGAGATAAACAAGAATAGAGATATTCCAGCCTGTCTGAATCTGCTGACGTAAAGTGTCAGATCAAATCTACCTCCTTAATCTGCATGGTGTGACAGACATCCATTTCACAAAAATTCTGAGTATTTTTCAAGAAGCCTTCATTCTGGCTTTGGTTAAAATTGTCCATCTGTCAATCCATTTCTCCAAAATAGTGTTTCCCAAACTTTTTACAGTCCTGTACCCTGTGCCGTGTATAGTTAGTTTGATTTACACATCCAAAAAGGAGGTGGAGGAAGTATGAATTCATTAAATCTGACCCCCTCTCCATAAGTCGTTGAGTAAAATAAAACAGACCGCTTCCTTAAATAGATAAACCTATACCTAAGACTTTTCTAAATATACCATTGTGATTACCTTTTAACTTTGTCACACACGCTGGTTCTCTTTTTACAGGGATAAATCACCATGGTATGCTTAACAGCTAACCTGCCCCAGAGCCAGTTTTGTTCAGAGCATCAGATCAACCTGTCAACACCTTGACCTCTGACATGTCTCACTGAGGAAAAGGGTATCCATGGACAAAAGTCAGCAGTCCCAGGTAAAAAAGCGTAGGCCCATATATTGTTATAGGTCCGTAGAATCACTTCATTGTTCACAATAATACAACAACAACCGAGGTTGTAATATTGTACCTTTAAACAGAGGCAGCGTTTTAGACTCAGGAGGCCCGTGCACCCACTATATACCTCCTTTAATGAAGTAATTCCTCTGCTTCTTTTGTCCATTTAATGTCAAACAAAGTCATGTAATGACAAGTACAACGCTGCTGCTGGCCATATTACTCATGATGATCCTGGGCCTTTCTCAAACCAACCCCTACACCCTCTCCCTACTCACTTTCAATCAGTTTCTGCCTTCACGCGGATGGTCTGTCAAATTGAGTGCCATCCCAAACCAACTAAGGAGTGAAAGTAAGTTCTAAAACCCTCCAACAGCGAGTCTGCATCGATGCCGGCTTAAGCCCAGTTTCCACCAAACACTTTCTGTATGGTACCTTTGGAACCAGCAGTAAGCCTTCAGACATGGTACCTAGAACCTCAGTCTGTTCAGACAGTCCTCTTAAATGTGGGCGGGGTTGTTGTCACTCACTGCTCCGTCCAGCACTCGCTGTATTTCCTCATCAGCAGTGACACAGATGGAAGTCTGCACCTGCAGGGTTCAACATAACATTTTTTCCCCACTTGCCCCCCGGGCCAGTAGTTCAGAGTTTTACTGGCCCAAGTAAAAAAGAGAGAGAGAGAGAGAAAAAATGAATATAAAACTTCATTTCATTTAACTCCATTATACCTCATTGTAGTGCGTGATGGTCTATACAGCAGTCCTTGCAGAAACTCATGTATGATGTCACAGCCTCTGTGTACTCATCCACTTCCTAGATGACCTCACAACAGGTTTACAGAGCTTTAACTTCTGCCTGTATGAGGGAATCAGGTGGACGGTGTTGTGGTCAGAGTGGCCCAGTGCAGCGCGGGGGACGGCGTGATAGGCGTTGTTAACAGTTGTGTAACAGTGATCCAGAATATTCTTCTCTCTGGTTGGACATTTTATAAACTGTTTGTATTTGGGGAGTTCATGTGTGAGGTTACCTTTGTTAAAGTCGCCAATGACAATAACTAAGGAGTCTGGGTAAAGTCCGCTCCACACACAGTAGCTATCTGGTCGGTGAGCGTGCGCTGTGCCTCCTGCACGTTGGCCTGCGGTGGGATGTAAACACCGACCAGAATGAATGAAGCAAACTCAAGGGAGGAAAAAAAAAGATTAAAAATAAAAAAAAAAAGATTCCAGATCAGGAGAGCAGTGCTGCTGGATCACTGTCACGTCATTACACCAGCCACTGTTAGTATAAAAACAGATACCTCCACCTTTAGTTTTGCCGGAGAGTTCCGTGTTACAATCCGCTCTAAAGACTTGGAAGCCTGCCAGCTGCAGCGCAGAGTCCGGTATCGATCCACACAGCCACGTCTCCGTGAAGCACAAAACTGCAGATGTAGAAAAGTATCCGTTTTTCACCATCAGTAGCTGAAGTTCATCCGGTTTAATGGCCAGTGAACGCACATTAGAGAGAAATATACCTGCATGGCAGCGGTGTGCGGTGTCCGCGTTGGCAGAGACGCACAAGCGCACCAGCACGTTTCTCCCTCCTCCGGTGTTTCACTGCACGAGCAAAGGTGAGGGCACCTTTGGCCAAAAAGCCCAATAAATCCACTGAAGGCTCGAGAAAAGTGGGATAAAAATCTGCTGGAGTTGTTCCCCTGACAAAAAAAAGCCTTACAGCATCACTGGCCCGAGCGGGCCTGTGACCTGTCAGTCAACTTGCCCGACATACTTTTTGATTGGCCCCGGGCCATCGGGCCATCGGGCCATCGGGCCATCGGGCCATCGGGCCATGGGTTATGTCGAACCCTGACCTGGTTTATCGTCCACAGAACGAGGCTGCACGCCCACATTTTCAGAACAAAATAGAACAGGCTGCAGCGAGAGTCTCTCTCCATGGGATATTTAAAAATAGCAGCTTTGTGCATTTAGTCCTTCTCAGGCAAGCTCAGGGGTTTAGTGTTGCTGTAGCCTAACGCTACGTGGCTCTTTTTTTTCTCAGTGTGGGGATTGCAGTTCACATAACCTGGCAGAAATTAATACATATAAACGCTTGAAGATCCACTCAGTACTAAAGGTGTATGTCATATGAAAACTTAAGTAATGGTCAGAGTTGTCATATAGAATACTAAAGGTATGCTGATGGATTCATGTCGACACCTCGTCCATTGAGTGACATTACAAGCTAATGTTCCACCTTAATAGTTGCTGGCAGGCGGCCCACAATGTTACCTGCTCAAACTAACATAGACATTTATATGCCTACTGTCATACAGAGGTTAACATATTAAGGGTCGTATTACATAAAGGATAAAATATATCCTTCTCCAGTCGCTACAAAACAGTCGCGCTCATTTAATTGTAGTGCTGGATATTTACAACTGTTAACAAAAAGCGAGCAGCTTATAAACAGAGTGAAAAGCCAAAAGATGTTTACAAAAAAAAGAAATGCTACCAAAGAAGCTTAGGAGTAAGTTTTATTTTTACTTATGTATGTATTTATTTATTTTTTTATATATATCAATGTATCAAGTTATTTTTTATGATAAAAACATAATATACAAAAATTAAGGTAAACAATAGCAGCACACAGATTAAATATAAGTAATATATATATGATGAACATAAAATTGTATTAAGCTTTTTTTTTCTTCATGGTTGTAGTTAAGTTATAAGTTGCAGCAGTTCCTCTTTCTGCTGCAGAGAGGGAAGTTTGTCCCAAAGCTTGCTGCTGTGTTTATCTCCTACATTTTAATGAAAGGAGCTTCATTCAGCTGTGAACATGACTGCAAACGTAGTTACACTCCATGATGGAGTGGGAGTGTGTCGGGTCAGTTTTTTGTAAAGGCCACCTCCTCCCATCTAATAACACATGCTGTAGCACAGTTTGTTCTGTAGATGGTGCTCTCACATTAAATGGATGTCTTCATTCTGGCTGGGTTAAAGTGGCCCCAGTTTGTGCCTCTCGTGTAACAGCACATATGTGCAGTTTGGATAATAAGGTATTGATACTGATATTTGATATTAATTTCAAATGTAAAAAAAAGGCATGGACATACAAACAAGTAGACAGACAAAAAGAAAGTAATATTTACAAATAATGAAAAGTAGTTGTCAGGGTATCGTTGGTTTGACTTACACATTCTCTCTCATCCACTGCTGTAAGAAACAGAGCTGGGATTTCTGTCTATCAATATATCGTTCCCTTTTTCAGACGTCCTCGGATTTGGGATTCTACCTGTGAGCTCAGGTCCAACACTTACAAAGAATTGATTAAAACTGTTAACCACATCATTCATGTCATAAACTTCATTATTATTATCAATAAAATACTTTTTAGTATGTCCCATATTCCTCTAATATTGTTTTTGTTATAATTTAATAATTTCTTATAGAAATCGTTCTTGCTTGATCTTATAAAATTAATTAGTGTATTTTTTAAATGTATTTTCTGCCTCTAGTTTTGTGTTTTAGGAAAGTTAGGAACTTAATGAACAATACAAGGTGCAATAAATTGTACCAACAACTGGACACACTGTACTTCACTGCACTGAGAAGTGTCAACTTAGGTTGAGGAGCTGGTTTTCCTTTATTGCAATGTTTTTATTGTGACCATGTGTTGTGTTACTGAATACATTGTGTAGTGTGTATTTGTGTAAATTTCAGATGTTACATAGGTTGTGTTTGATATTTATGTGACTGTGATTTTATGGTATGAACCTATATGAAATCTTTTTGGAGACTGAACCATAATCTGAAGTAAAATCAGTTGATTGAAAATGTTTCTGAACAGTTTTATGGAAAAACTTTGGTGGATGAGATGGTAATACAAAGATATGAGGCACACTGCTGAACAGGATATACAGTATGTGTTTATTGATGAAGCTGAAATCAATTTAGAACTGTCAAAAGATCTTCCAGCAGTGAGGTCATGGAGGCCTGACTTCCTCTCAAGTGAAATCGTCAGTGGGGATGTGACCACGGTGAAGTGTCATGGAGTGGAGTGATTATACATGTCTGGCGCAGACAAAAGAACTCTTGTGATCGCAACTCATGTCGTTGACAACATTCTTTCCTGTAGACAACAGATAATAGCATGTTAAAAGGTTCTGCTAGACGGTATTTACATCACAAAACTTTATTCATATCACACTTTCCTAAACCTGGGTTATTGCTTCACTGTTGCAAATGAAAGTTCATACTAAAAACAAACAAAAAGGAAAACAAAATTCAAAGTATGAATAAAACAAAATACAATAATGATGTAAGGATACACCACATTAGGAGTTACATAAGATCCCTTTTTTTTTTTTTTTTTTTTGCTTCTCAGTAAAAATCCCAACCAAGAAGAAAACAGTTAATCAAGTTTTACCTTCAAAGTTAATCTCCATGCAGTGTTCTTTTCCACCACTGTTGTTGGGCTCCCCTGTGCCCCAGTCTTTGAAGGTAAATGGTGAACCATCACTATTCAGCCACACACCTTCCTGAAAGACGAATGTGCTTTTTATTTTTTACATAGCCTTTAACTTAATTCATTAATTTCATTTAATGTATTTCAGTTGTGTTTAAACTGTAGTGCTTCTTATCAAAGATTGGGTACAACATATACATTAAAGAATAGGTGGACTCACGCCTGATGCATCGTAGCCTCCAAGCCAAGTGGTTGTATGTGCACCAGTCAGTCTGAAAATCATATTTCTGAGGTAGTCGTAATCAGCTTTGGTGTGAATGGATGCCAGATTTCCACCAATAGTGGTGCAGAAATGCTGATAAAGGAAAATGAAATGTGGAGCAAAAAAGGACAAAGAGTGAGAAAAAATAGGACAGAGAGATTAAAAAATATTAGAGACAAAGTCCACAATAAAATTCTGTGTGTTTCAAACCAATAAAGTGTCATATCAGTAGCAGATAATAGTTAAGCTGTGTTATATGAATGTCTCATTCATATAGAAAGCTACAGCGGCTGTGGCTCAGAGGTAGAGCGGGTCGCCCACCAATGGATTATGACTGAATTTGTTTCAAAATGTACCTCGGCGTGAGACCAGGTCTTTTCAGTGTGGTGGAACTGCAAACACCGTTCACCAAAGTGAGCCCAACCAGGAGGGCAACTTTTGCAGCAGTGATCTGTAACACAATTGTAGATGAATAGGACAATTGTGCAAAAAGCCTCCAGCTGTTCAAAGCCAGAGGATGTGAGAATATTGTTCCTCAGCTCAGTCTTTATAGACAGCCCAACAAAAAGAAGCTGTTGAGCACAGAGCAATCTTAAAAATGAAAAAAAAAAAAAAAATTGTAGTCCTATCAATAATCTGATGTGCAGTGACAAAGTGGCAACTACAGTATTTCCCCTCCACCATTCTGAGAAATACCAACCTTCACATGATGCCTGTGGAGATAAAGACATCTTTAGTGTCAGACTCATCTTAGATTTGCCTCCATTTGTTAATATGACGAATGTGTTTTTTCCACTTTCTTTTTACAAAATGTTAATAAAACATTCATATTTCATTTTAGAAGCATGTTTTTGGGCTGGAAGAGCTCCCACGGGACTGGTTTTATGTTAAAGTTTAGGTGTTATAACACCAAAGATCTTTTTAAAGTAAATATACATATTACTTACGTTTGCTCCAATCCACAGTCCACTGGTCAAACAGAGGACCACAATGAGAAGAAGACTTGATGCCATCTGTGTAAAGATATAGTATAATAATAATGCAAAATGTGAATTTAAATTACAAAACTAAAAGCTGAAAAATTCTTCTTAGAGCGACGGTGTTTGGTGATACAGGAAGACAAAATAAAACAAGTCCTGGTAACGAGCTACACATGAAAAAGTGAAAGTGAAAATTAAATGTAATAATGAAAAGATGACAAGTCTTTTCTGTAGATATGAATGAAAACAGCTGATGCAGTGATGAAAAGCAGCCTTACCGTGTGATGACCAGGTGAAGTTGCACTTGCAGCAGTAGCAGGTAGGAGGGTGTCCTTGAGAGGGAAACCTACTGTTTATATACTGCCGTTGGGTGCCTTGACTCCAACACCTGAGCATAGGATCATGTTTAATCATCATAAATAATAATGAGTAATCTCTTGGCTCAGACATGGGGGAAAACTGGAATGCTCTTCAAGGAAAGTCATAAGTTATGGATATAGTGCCTTTTTGCCTCTCAGCTACAGGATGAGCTCCAGATATTCAGATAAAAATTGTTATTCATATAACACTTTTAATTTGATCCCATTTTTCCCAGGTTCAAACTAAAGATCTGATCATTTTTCTGTTCGCAAAAAAGACTTATTTCTCTAAGATATTTTGTTGCAACTTTGTGTCACTGTGTTGTGTGACCAAACTGCAGATTTAACAGTGGCCTTTTATTTTGACCAGCCCAAGGCACACCTGTCAGGTGAATGGATAATCTTGGAAAAGGTGAAGTGATCACTGACACAGATTTTAACAAATTTACAACCAAAATTTGAAAGAAGTAAGTTTTTTTGTGTGTGTGTGTGTGTGTGTGTGTGTGCGCGCATCAGAAAGTCTTAGATCTTTAACTTAAACCTGTGAAAAATGTTAATTTTAAATTGTGTGTATGTCAACGTTTGCATTTTACTAGATAAGGTCACTACACAACTGTTTTAAATATCTTCCTAACAAAGAGTTACTGTCAGACCTATCTTTGTTGATGTCCTCCAGGACAAACACAAGGAGTGTTAATGATATCCCCAATAAATATTCTTATTCATTTTAATGACATATTCTGTTGTAAAATAGAAGAAGACGAACAGATTCCAAGAGATTAATGAAGGTAATGGTTGGCAATAACAGGCTGCACAGTCTCAACTGTGAATTTATGTATTTACAGGCTTATAAATTGTATCAGACACATTGAAACAACCAAAAAGTTAAAAAAAAAAAGAACGAAAAGAAAGAAACAAGAACCAATATACATTTTTTGTCTTTAATGTTTATAATTGATTAGCCCACTGCTCTGTAATGAAAATCCTTATCAAGAGAACAATAATTTTTACCTTTAAAAGTTCCAAGTTTGACACACAGTCATATCATCCAAGTAAGGTTATCATTAAGATACTGTAAGAGATTCTTCCCATAAGCCATGCGGGCAGTCTAAAACTGACCTTATTTTATTCCCTGTGACTCTGTCCGCACATTGCATACAGTTTATTAGTTATCAGGTCTTTACCCGCATCCACCGATGAATTCTTTTCTATTTTCATTTAAGATCAATTTTTACTTAACTCACATTTCACACATATGTATGCTACCCTGTATTGCTGCAGGTAAATGTTTAGGGAAAAGTAAACTGACAGACACCTCTCAGAACAAAGCTCTCAGGGGTGTTGAATTAAGATGATTCTGTTTAAATTCAAACATCCTGCTTGAAAATGGGGAGAGGGGAGGCCAGCAGCATTTGTCTTGTAATTACTGTATCATCGTTTACAGTAATATATGTATAAAAATCTCTCTCTCACCCCTGCTATGTGTCTTCTTCAAGCTCAGGTCCTCTACCAGAAGCTTGAGGGTTCTGGGCAGTATCTCAGCTGTTCCTAGGACTGCATTCTGGACAGAATAGGGATGTCACGATACCAAAAATTCAGTAGGCGGTGCCGATACTAGTAAAATTACACAGTTCTCGATACCAAAGTCGATACCACGGGGGAAAAAAAAAAAAAAAAAATCCTAAGATCCCATGTACTTAAACAAGAAATACTTTAATAAAATATTTGCATATAAAATAAAATTTCTATCAACAAATTGATATTACTTATATTTTTTCTTTTTCTCTTTTTCTCTTTACCTATATTTCATTGTAAAAAACATTGATCAACATCCACAATAAACTCAATAAACTATTTAAATATTTACTATTTAAATCACCTGACAGCGTTTAAGCCAACCCCAAGAATGTGTGGAATTTCGTTGGTTTCATTTATCGTTTGTCCTGTTCCAGTGCAAACGTAGTTTTTTGACGTCCGTGATCCAGTTGTGGAAAAATCAGACATCCCAGTACAATAAATCAAACGCACCCCAACCGCTGTGTTTCGGAAGTAGATGCGCATGCGCTGTCACGTGCTGCTGAGAGTGAAATCCATGATCGTTAGCTCACACGCAGCTTGTTCACGCTGTTCTCTGTGTTGTTGAAATTAAACAAAATAACATGCAACATATCTGCTTATTATGCTACTGATTTTAATTGGAATATTTTCTGATGAACTGAATGACAGTGAGAGTGTTGCACGTGTCGAAGGCTGGGCTCACAGGAGACCACCGGACTTGGAACGAGTTAAAGCAATTAATTGTTTTCTGGCCTAAAGTATGGCCGTGACTGGTTTTAAATGTGGGCTTTCGCAGGCAGCCGCTCTCTCCTCTTCTTCGTCACCCCCTCGCTCTGAATGTAGGCACAGACTGTAATGCTATATGGCGTATACTGCCCCCATCAGTTCCGGAAGAGTCATAGCACCGATTCTTACATTGGTATCGGTTCGTCCGGTTTTTCAAAAAATGAGTATCGCCAGGGTTTTTTCATCATGGAATCAAAAGGTATCGCTACTATCGGTTCTCATGACATCACTAGGACAGAGACCTCAGATGTTGTACCTAGATTCTTCTGGAGCCACTCTCCCAGTTTACGAGACCCTGTCCACATCTGCTCCAGTTGATCCGTCAGCCCCTGGTACTTCTCAGTCTTATCACGCTCTTTCTTCCTGGTGTTACTGTCAGCTGCCACATCTACCACAGCTGCCCTCTTCTGCTTCTTGTCAGTCACCACTGTGTCTGGTTGGTTAGCTAGCAGCTGCTTGTAGGTCTGGAACTTGACGTCCCACAGGATCTTAGCCCTGTTGTTCTCATCCACTTTAGGTGGTGTGTCCCATTGGGACTTGGGGACTTATAGTCCATATTCGGCACAGGTGGTCCTGTATAGTATCCCAGCCACTTGCTTGTGCTTCTTGCTTTCCCAGCTTGCATCTTACATCCTGCTACTATGGGCTAGACTGTCTCAGGGGCCTCTTTGCACAGCCTGTACCTGGGGTCCTGTCTACTATGGTGGATCTCTGCCTTTATGGATCTGGTGCTCAGGGTCTGTTCTTGTACTGCCATGATCAAGGCCTCTGTGCTGGCCTTCAGGCCGGCTTTTTCTAGGCACTTGTAGGATTTCTTGATGTCAGCCACTTCCTCTATCTGCAAATGGTAGGGCTGCTCGATTATAGAAAAAAATCGAAATCACGATTATGCAAACGATTATGCGGCGCACGTGATGAGTTATATTATTTACACCATGTCATATCTGTCGCTACATGGTCGCGTTTACAATTCTCCTCTGCTCTCTGTATCGCACACGGCGGAGTTCGGCCCGATGCACATACACACACACAGAAATTTTTTTTTGAAATCTTCCACAATCACCTGCCCCTCGCATTATTCGTAGTTCACCTACTTGACTGGCTCGTGGAGTGAATAGAGGAGAGGAGGGGAGGGGCAGTATTGTGTATGCGCGGCTTCCGTAGAAGACAAAATAACATCTCCAGGTGTCCGTTACCAAAAATTGTTTACCTTCGATTTTGTAATCACAATCACCAGACGATTAATTGCACAGCCTTAGCAAATGGCACAAGTTTGTTTGATATTCTTTTTATTATTCAAATTTTGGTCGATTTCCACAACAGTTGACACCTCACTTGAGCCAACAGGAGTTTCTATGTCCTCTCCACAGCCCACAATAGCCAACAGGGGCTTGTGTTGGAAGGGGGTCTACCTCATTCTTCAGGTTACAGAGCCAATCAGTAGCAGGCAGTTGGCCCAATGATTTATGAGTGTTGTAGTCAGTGACACTCCTGACCCCGACTGCAGTTTTGAACTGGTTATTGGCATCATAGAAATGTGTCTTCACAGCAGCTTCATCATGAAAACCATGTACCAAGAATTGCAAGATGTCTCCTGCTTATCATCATCATCATCATCATCACCACCATAATCATCATCCTAAGCACTGAAGTTTGTAAACCACAGAAAGAGAGAGAGGAGAGGAAAGGAAACATCAAATTGGGCAACTTCAGCTTCCTGACTGATTAGACAGACAAGTGAGTAGAGTGAAGTGACAGAGACAGTTCTCCTGCAGGTTCATGATTTTTCAACATCAGGATCAACTTCAGAATGAACATCCAACATGTTGTGCTCTTCTGCTTCTCATCAGGTGAGGACTGATATGAATCGAACCATTCAGCATCAGTTGTTAGTCAGTGATGTGTTTGATATTAGAAAGTATGGATATTGTAAAAATAAAAACAAACATGAAACTAGAAAAGTGCACTCAGAGTGCAGATCTGCTTACTACCAGAAGCTAATAAAGTACATGCCTCCTCTATTTTTGACCGAGCAACAGCACAAAGTAGATTGATTTCTCCTGCTAACAGGCACTGTATGTGAACTATAAATACAATGTAAATATGAAGATTAATGTATTTTTATTACTAAAACACAGCGACAAATCTGTGATCAATGTCAATCACAATTGAACTTTTATTGATATTAGCTTTGTCCGTAGGCTACAGCCCAACAAAGGAGGAATGAACAATGAACACAATTATTGCCTAAATTGTCTTTTTCTGTGAACTGTGCCATTTGAATAAATTTGCCCAAAACAGATGAAAAAACAAACCATCTACTTCGACTGCTTACTCATGGTAGAAGCATAAATATCAAGGAAAGATTACCATATCAAACTCTGCAAGTTTGCAAAATCAAGCAGGCAAAACGCTATGCCTCTGAAATGCTCCTGGTGTGGTGTGACGCCGTGCGGTGGAGGAATGTTGTTGGACCGCAGCCCAGCTTCGCCCAGTGGAATTGTCCCTCCTGGCTCCCCTACAGTCAAGATGGCAGCAAAGATAACAATTGACTCTTTTATCTCTCACTGGGCCTTACTCGACTGGATCATAACATATCTGTTATGGATTTTATCCTGCAGATGTTCTGGTTAAAAGTGAGACTAAACTCGTGTATGGATGTCAGTTTTTGAGCCATGACGAAGGCCAAAACAGACTTTAAGGTTTTTGTTATAGCTGAGAAGATTTCCAGAGAACTGCAACCCCTACTGGCCAGTTAGAGGGAGTAAGGAGTCAGCAGTCAATGACAGTCAGTAAAACCCATTTTTCAACAACTGTTCATCACTGCAACAATGAAAGGTCTTTGAGCATTCATAAATGTGCTCAAAAAATATTAAGCTGACTGGTCTAGTCGTTTCGAGATTAGCTGCGGACCAACTGATTCACATGCACACACTCCTAGTGTAGATAAAAACAAGGGGGAATTGCCAGAGGCCCAAAGCTGCGATGATATCATGCTACTTTGGTCACAATAAAATATTACTGAGATATTAAATGTATTTGGATATGCTGAGTATTATGGTAACATACGCTACAATATTAACATTAGCATTAGCATTAACTTTTTTCATCTGCAGATTTAGGAAAAACTTTGTCAAAATCTGTTTTTTACCTAATAAGATAAAGTTTTTGGTCTGTTCATCTCACTCTAGTCATTTTACAGCAGCAACATGTATCTAGTGGACTGAAAAGGCAATTGATTTTATTATTTTATCGGGCTACCAGAAGTTTAATTTGAATTTGCAATAATAAAAGCTTATACTTGGCTGTGTCTGTGTATTGATTTAAAAAATTGCCAGGCAAGACATCGCTGTATTATGCTTTATCAATTTTTTCCCTCATCCCTAATAAAAGCATATGTTGCCCAGAGGCAACATACGCCTAGAGCTCTCCCACTGCAGCTGCAAGGACAACAACAGCTGCTGTAGAGTCAGTGAAAAGTTGATCTTTGCTAATGGCTGCCTCTGTATCATCTCTGCTTCTCTGTGAAGTGATGGATTAGCCTTCATTAATCTGCAGTCTGTTCACAGTTAGTCTGTTTCTTTGAAACAGACTAACTGTTCACAGTTAGTCTGTTTCAAAGAAAGTACTAACCATTAATGTCCATGTTTTCTACAGCACTGTGTGGTGGGAACACTGGGCTCGTCAATGCCAAACTCAACATTTACACAGGCGCTGAAGGAGGAACTGGTTCGATTAGTTGCCACTTGACTCTGACTGGAAACATGAAGTTCTTCTGTAGGAACGAATGTAAAGGAGAGGATATTCTCATTAGAACAGATGATGTCACAGCTCAGAACGGCAGATACAGCATTGCATACAGCAACGGATCTTCTGGAATAGGAATTCTGACTGTGACCATCACACGTCTGACCAAGTCTGATGCAGGACGGTACAGGTGTGGTTTAGGCAAAACTTTGGGTTCATATTTATACCAGGACTTTGGACTCAGAGTTTCAGATGGTAAGTTTCTACTGAAAGTTATTGAACCTTATATATTTTGTGTATTCAGTATATTTTGTGTTTTCTTAAGTGTAGGAATTAAAATCACATTAAATTGTGGTAAGAGTGTGAGTTGTAGTTAAAGGATAACTTCAGTATTTTTCAACCTGGGCTCTATTTCCCCATGTGTATGTGTGCGTATGATTCATAGGTACAACTCGTTTTAAAATTGGTTCAGTATTGAGGGAGGCAGATGCAGCCAGGAGCCGCGAAACGAGCTAAAACGGTAACGGGGGCAAATGCGTCCCGTATAAGTTTGCGCATTAAAAATGCTTTTTTTTCGCCACTGACCAATTCAGATCGCCAGTGCTATCTCTGTAAAAAGCATACTAAGCGTTTCCCTTACCTCTGGGCTGTGACGTCATCTCACGAGAGCTTTGCTCCACTGTGTCTGTAGCTCTCTCTACTCGTGGGGCAGCCGTTTTCTTGAGGAAGAGGTGTTTCGGGATTGGATGTCTTCTCTTCTTCGGCTGGCAGTAGTCATCTTGGGAGAAGTGAGCACTGCAGACCCGATGGTCTGCAAGGCGCAGTGTCTGGACAGGAGTGTTAGCATCCATTTGTAGCACAACTAGCCACAACTTCAGCATCTCGCCGTCCGACAAAGGCAGCCTATGAAAGCTGTACGGGGTGTTGCGCGACATCCTGTTCTTGCAATTTGGATGAGCACAAACACGAACCATTGTTTTCAATCGATGCAGTAGAACTTTCAACTGTACTCCGGGACAACAAGTGGCACTCTGAGCACTTTTAATGTGCAAACTTATACGGGACATATTTGCCCCCGTTGCCATTTTAGCCCATTTCGCGGCTCCCGGCTGCATCCGCTTCCCTCAATACTGAACCAGTTTTAAAACGAGTTGTACCTATGAATCATACGCACACATACACATGGGGAAATAGGGCCCAGGTTGAAAAATACCAAACTTATCCTTTAATCAGGGTATCCGCGGGGTTGTAAAAGGTATTAAAAGGTAGTAAATGAAATTTACCAAAGTTAAGGCCATTAAAAAGTATTAAAAAGTAATAAATGTCAGCTGAGGAGGTATTAAATTTTCAAACCACTATCCAACTATGAGTTTTTTTCCATTTGTGTTAAGTGCAGACTAAAAATCCTGTGATTTTATTTATTATATAAATTATATGTGCGAGTAGGACCTGAGTGATATCAAGGATGTGACATCAGTCAGCGTCAGGAAAAAAAAAACAAAACAAACAATTCGCGCCTCAGTCAGTCTACAGTATGCTCCGTTGCGGATTGCTGCCAAAACAGTCATCATGGGGAAATGTAAGTTTTCAGACCACTGGTTAGAGGAAGAGAGATTCAAAGACTGGCTCAGGCCAGTAGTTGGTAACAGCCGAGAGGCTTATTGCCATGTCTGTAAAAAGACAATAAATATCACCTGGATGGGGGTGAATGCTGTCAGGTCCCACATGGAGTCCAGTGGCCACCAATCAAGAATGCACTGACGTAGTGAGCAATTGCCAATTTCCATGTTTTGCAGTAGCGCGACGGCTACATCACCGCAAACCTCCACCGCTCCCCCGCAAGCCATTGCAAGCGGTAGCACCGTGAGTAGATCTACGACGACAGACATCAGACAGCAAACTCTATGCCCCACTTCAATGTTGCGAGCTGAGGTGCTGTGGTGCCTGGGAAGAGCAACGAAACACCACTCATACAGCTCCAATGAGGGGATAGGAGAGCTCTTCAGGAACATGTTTACGGATTCAAAGATAGCAAAAAACTTTGCGTGTGGCAAGGACAAGAAGAGCTACATCATCAAGTTTGGTTTAGCGCCATACTTTAAGAAGAAACTCATTGCAAGTGTAAACAAAGCTGGACCGTTCGTCCTCATGTTTGACGAAAGACTTAATACATGTTAAAAAAAACCCAGATGGACATACACGTTCGGTATTTGGAGGATGGCTGTGTGACATCAAGGTATTTTGGTTCCGAATTCCTGGGACATGCGAGGGCAGAAGACCTGTTGTAGCACATCAAAGTAAGTATATTTTCTTATAATTATTAATTATGCTTTTGAGTGCATGTGCCATGTTTATCCCCGTATTGATTAAAACCAGATGCGGCCCGTCACACGGGCACTGAAGCCCAGACTTGACGGGGCCCGATGTAATTCTCGGTTTGGACCGAGCCCATACAGATCCATCACATACGGGGGGCTCAGAAGAACAGACAAGCAGCCCACTCGAGCAGAAAGACAGTAAAGGGACTCTGTGTGTGTGTGTGTGTGTGTGTGTGTGTGAGAGAGAGAGAGAGAGAGAGAGAGAGAGAGAGAACAGTAAACCCCCTCACCCCCATTCATTCATAGGAAATTTATTAGTTGTTGGTTTAAGCATTGATGAGGTAATCGCTGTTAGTATGTTATTTTCTTTTCAATGATGTTCCTCCTTACATGTTTATTGCTGTATTTATGAAAAAACATCAACCAATATTGCATATACATCCATAATTCTTATAATGGCTAATTAAAGAATACTTATTTTTACACTGACATATTGTTAATTAGAAGTGTTACTCAAAAAACCTGCATTTTTACACCTAATTTGAATTTTATTCGAATACAAATACGAATACTTTTTATTTATTTTTATTGGACTCAGTGAGACCTCTGTGTTTTTAGTACCTTGATGCAGAGCTAGAGCCGTAGAGGACGCTCACACACACACACGGATAACCTTACACGTGGAATCAGTAATAGGAAAACATACTTTTTTCTGTTAGAAAATTGTGTTACTCTGTTAATATTTTGGTGTTTGATTGCAGTTGTTGTACAATTTTATCAAATTGATGGTTAGTTATTGTGTTGCTTGGCAACAGTTACGTATTCCATATGCAGAGGTTATGACCTATATATCAGTTGAGATTAATAGCATGTTTGTCACAGCAGTGTGAATGGTCCGTCCTATGACAAAGGTTCAGACATCCTGGAGACACTGTCAGGATTAAATCAAAGGCTACAGATTTTAGCTTTACATCCAATAAGGGATGATTATTTTCTCAAAGGTCATGTTTCCTCATCAGTGTCAGATATTGGAACTGTTAAGCTGGCAGCTAAGGAAGCTCTTCATAACCCTCTACTTTCTCCTTTCCTCATCTCCTCATCCAGGCTGAGATTCTCAGTGTCCCGAGTCACAAGAACATCATTCAGTTTTATGGAGCCGTGCGGGAATCTCCCAACTACCCCCCCTCTCAATTCATCTCTGATTTTATCTCAGTGTTGGACAGTTTTTCTCTCTCTGTTTGTGCATGTGTTAAATGTTGAATTCATTTAATTAAACATTTCTGTTTTTAACTTTTTAAACCTTTTCTGATTTTCATTTGTCATTCTGTCTTCATTGAGATAGAATGATGGCGAAAGAAAGAGTGTAGCGCTGTGTGCTCTTCCTACACATAATAATGAAATAACTTTTTGTCTTGGGTTAGGGTTAAATAACAAATAATTGTGTATAGGTCAGTGTTTTTATTTAGGCAAAAAAGTAACAAAGTATCTAGTAACTGTAATAATAGGTACTTGATTTGAAATGTAAGCATTACACTTACTCACTCAGAAAGTTAAGTAAGAAAACGACAGTAATCCATTACTTTATAATTAGTTACCCCCAACACTGAAGTTCGAAAGGTTGCAACCACAGTTGCAGCTTGAAGTCGTGTTGGTATTAAAAAATATTGTGACGGTATTAAAAAAGGTATAAAAAAGTATTAAATTCAACTTAATAATTTCTGTATAAACCCTGTTAATGTATGAACACTCATTTTAATGATGTTTGATTAAATCATTCCTCCACCAGTCACAGACTGTGGTTAAACTGGGCAGCTCCTGGTGTGACTCAGTGTGTCCGTGTTAATGTGAAGCAGGAAATGCTCTAATCAGACTGCAGCATCTTACAGGAAGTACAGATAGTAACCAATGATTGTTTATTTTCAGTGGGACTGTTGGATGTAGAGTCTGGCTTTCACTACACAAAGACTGAAGGAGAAGAAGTCACTCAAGGATGCAGCAATAGTGCCTACAGAAGTTGGAAGTTCTTTTGTAAGGACGAATGTAAAAAACAAGACGACGTTCTCATCGAAACAGATGGCAACAGAACTCAAAGTGGCAGATACAGCATCGAATATACAGAAGGATCTCCATATGAACTGCGTGTGACCATCTCACAGGTGACCAAGTTGGACACTGGACGGTACCGGTGTGGTTATGGCAGAGCTTTCTCCCCAGAGGTCTACGTGTTGTTTCCGATCATTGTCATAGATGGTGAGTTTGTAATGAAAATTATGATAATGTTTCTTCATAATCCACGTCCTGTTCAGTGCATCAATCAATTTTCACAGTAAAAAAAAACAAACAAACGATAATTAAAATATGTCTTGTTTTTGCTTAAATTCCAAAAATGTAGTGGGTGGAAACAATATGACAGATACAAAGATGCTCTTTGTGATTTGTGACATCAAGAGGAGGGTTGAGGTTGTCAGAGAGTTACAAGGACTGCTGGTACGGGCGCAAAGGCATTAAAATAGATGCAACTGGTTTTTAACCACCAAGTAATATTTCATGAATATATTGATATATTAAAAAAGTACCGTAATGTTGTGTATTTTACCTGCAAATGCTCCGCATGCAGTCTACATGTCCACTTTAATTAATTAAGTATATATAGGTAGAGTCACTAAATCACCTGCAGCCTTTTCTGTATCTTTAATAACTTTAGATGATGTAGACAGAGACGCTGTCTCTGTTTCCTGGAAGGATCAGGGTGGTGGAGTTATGGCAGTACATTGGCAGAAATGGAATATACTCTAACAAGTCTGTTTTATATAGTTTATAATCACCTGAAAATAAGAATCATTGTGTTTTTCTTACCTTAGAATGAGACGTTTATATCTATGTAGGGAGCAGACCCTTGTTTACTTGGAGATCGCCATGATCACTGCCATGTTTCTGCAGTAGCCCAGAACAGACAAACCAAACACTGGCTGTAGAAAGGTTCATAGCGTTTTCACATTTTCACCTCAGCCACCGTAGCTTGAAGCTCATCTACAACAAGCAGTGTCTCCTGCTAAACATCCTGTACAATGAACACTGAAGGAATTCTACACATAACATGACATCAAACAACCAGTTAAAACAAATACTTTCAATATTGTCATTATTAGTAAACATTATGCTGCTTTGCACAATTCCTCCTGAAATGCAGACGAAACGTTTTGAAAAAAACGTCGGGAGTGTTTTCACCAGGAGTAGTGGGCCTAGAGTTAGCTTAACGTTGAAACCTGTTTAATTTGAGTACAAGGCTGAAGAACAACAACATCACTGAGTACAAAACTATCAGTTCTTCTTTCCTTCATAAATCACAATATTACAAACACATCCTGGGTTGAGGTTGGCTATGGCAGGGCAGTACTGAGAATCAGAGATAAAACTAAGCTGGCAGTGCCGTCTAACCCCCAAATTCCACCAGATGTGTGTTGGTTGCGTCTACGCTCTGGAACGGCAGCAGAGCTGATACGTTTCAGTTCTAGTCGATGTGTGTGCTTCCACCGGCTGCGGCTGTGTTGCCTTCCGGCTCCGTCACAGCTGTGGCGCTCCGGAGCCCTCCACAACAGATACACAGCAATTCCACACAGAGCAGATCATGCGGGGCAGGAAGTCGTGCACAGAAACAAAATAAAACATCCGGTTAATTTTCAAAATAAAATACACAGTGTTCACGGCGGATCATATTTCCCTGTACTACACCTTGAAAACATCATAATGGGCGGAGGCAGGCCTGAAGTCAACAGGTCAGAGATTTTCAGACGTCATTTCACCCCGTTGACACCATGGACGAGGAGATGTTAATCATGGAGGTGCACTGAGATGTCTTCCTACTCCTCTGGTTTTGTGGTTCTGTTTATAGAAACTACATCTTGTTATATCGCGCGATTATGCGTGAATTCACAAGATCTCGTGGGTCCTCGTGACTCCCACTGTCCGGCGGCACTGCATCGCTCCGCACAGCAAACGCAGCCGGTGGGTGTTGACGGACTGCGGAGCACACAGCGGATAATCAGCGCAGCCGTTCTGCAACGGACACACATCCAGTGGTATTCCAGCGTAACGCACCAGTGAAGCAGTGGAGGTGGCAGCGGGCCGACCCCTTTTCCTGGCCAGGAAGCGGTGGACATTAATGTCACAATGGCCATTTTAATGTTAACAATGCATAATGTAACTAACATGATAGATTTCTATTTCCCAACCTCACAGAGAAGTACTGTATTATCATCCGACATTCTTCGAAACATGTTGGCTTAATAGCTGTGGCGAACATACACTTCTATTGGCATTGTCAGCACAGGGGGTTACCCAAGGCTAATTAATGAGCTGGTAAATTAGCTAGCTAAGGTACAAACTCACTAAAAAAACACAGGACAGACCTCTTGGGCAGTCTGTAATTAACTGCACAGTAAGCCATAATATTGATTCAATATTTGCATGAAAAACTCTCCCAAAGGCGCCCACACCACAAACACAGCCAAGATGTCATGTTCAGTGACCAGTGACAGTCAACTGTCTCCACCACCACTGTTCACCTTTATAATGATGAAGTTTCCTAAATTTATTCAGCAAAAAACAATAATATTTATAGTGATGTTTAATTCAACAAACGTGCTTCAAATATTTCTAAACATTAACTCTGTTATAATACTCAGCACTGCATTTTATTTATTTATTTGTGCTGTTGATACTATTAATGCGATCTATGCTATAAACTGTATCTGTTCACCTTATTTCTCTCATCAGGATTCATCTGTGTCTTTTGTGATTCACAATCTGATAGTTTTATTGTGTTTTTGTTTTTCACAGCTCCAACCACTTCAAGCCCAAACTGGAGTCCTCCACCTTCCTCAGCGTCTGTCCCATCAGCCTCCACACCAATAACAAGCTCCAGTGCAGGAAGTTTCACACCTTCACCAGTTTTCCCTGCAACCACCAACCAGCTCACAAGTACAACATCATCATTCATTAAGTACTGCAGAGAATAACACTTTACACATCACAAAGTTGAAATGAAAGACACCTTTTTAGATACCATGCCTGGCCGCCTTGTGCACATATTTAACAATATGTGACTTTTGTTTTTACAAAAAAAAATCAATTTCTTCATAGTCTTATATCAAAATCCAATCATATTTTTGACCTTACAGAAGCTTGTACCTACAAATGATATCATGACATCCATGCATCAATCAATCTCTCTTCAATGCCTCTTGCAGCAGCTGTAGACTTAGAAAAACTAATTTAATTCACCAGGCCGTCTGCCAGCAACTTTTAAGGTGGAAATTTTACTTGAAATGTTGCTTAACTCATGAGTTGACGACATTAGTCCATCAACACAGCTTCAATTTCAATATGATAACTCTAATAATAATAATAATAATAATACATTTCATTTATAAGTGCCTTTCAGAACAGTCAAGGACACTGTACAGCAATAAAACAAAACAATAAAAACACAGATAAAAGCTACACAGAATGAAATGGAACAATGCAATTACAGAGAGTATGATATCTTGAACAGGTGGGTTTTGAGTCTAGATTTGAACAGTGGAAAAGAGTCGATGTTACAGATGTCCAGTGGGAGTGAGTTCCAGAATTGGGGAGCAGAGCAACTGAAGGCTCCGCTCCCCAATGGTACTGAGGTGGGCGGAGGGCACAGAGAGGTGGATGGAGGAGGAGGATCTGAGGGAGCGGGAGGAGGTGGCAATGTGGAGGAGATCCGACAAATAAGGAGGGGCGAGGTTATGGATGGCCTTGAAGGTATACAGAAGGATTTTGTAATCTATTCTGTGTCTGACCTGGGAGCCAGTGGAGATGCTGTAGGACGGGGGTAATGTGGTGAAATGAAGGGGGTTTGGTGATGATGCGAGCGGCTGGATTCTGGACCATTTGAAGCTTATGGAGGGTTTTTTGAGGGAGACTGAAGAGGAGAGAGTTACAGTAATCAATGCAGGAAGTGACGAGGCTGTGAACAAGGATCGAAGTGGTGTGGGGGCTGAGGGAGGGGCGGAGATGATTTATGTTGCGTACTCTGATAACTCTTTGTTTTTATCGTCGCTCTTGGATGACAGACTTTTAGTAATGAGTGGATCTTCAGGTGTTCATTAAATTAATATAAATTTCAACCAGATTATGTGAACTGTATATATTCTAGGGGTGTAATGGTACACAAAAATCACGGTTCGGTATGTACCTTGGTACACAAGTCACGGTTCGTTTTTTTTTTCGGTACAGTAATGAAAAAAATAGACAACTATTAAATATCTTTTACTTATTGGTAACCTTATTAAAACATACCACCACAGCATTTAACTCTTTTTACACAATTTTTGAATGAAACAAATATATATAAGATCCTGCTTTTTCACATTGTTTGAATGAAAATAATAGAAATATAAAAGTGAAAAATAAAATCCTGCTGTATTTTTAACACATTTTTTGAATGAAAAATATAAATATACATTTCTGCTTTAACAGTTTTACTCAATTAAAATAAAAAGTATAGTGCAGCTGGTCAGCTTTAAAGCCTGCTCAGATTCAGTTTTACTAGGAACTTACTTAGCTTTCCCACTTTGTTAAAGTGCAGTAAACAAAACATGCTTATATCTAAAGTGCAGCTTAAACAGTTTTACTCAACTCCAATGGCGTTGATTATTTCTTTAGCACGATGGTCAGGGAAACGCTCTTTCTTTTTAAACGACGACGATATAGTAGTTTGCACCAGATTGCTTTTTCTAGTCGTGCTGGTTAACGTTCAAACTTGGGTGGTGTCACTTTAGATGTGTTAGCATGTTAGATGTGTTTCCAAGTACAAACCCGACCGCTGTTCTGCAGTGTCGGCACACTGCTTTTGTCTTGTCCACTTGTTTATTTCCATCTTCGTATTTTACCCTGAAATCAAAGTGTTCCCAAACGGAGGACTTAAGGTTTGCGGGTGGGTCTTCAGGTTCGTCAGGCTCACTTGCCATGTTGTCAAAATGCAAGAATGCGCTGCACAAATTGAAAGCGGAGATTTACGGTCGGACTCGGTCCGTCATTCAATTATGTCCATCGGAGAACTAGATATTTTAAATGGTTCGGCTCGCAAAAACGGAATTAAAATCAAACAAAATAAATTAAAATAATATCCTGCGCCCAATAATTCGGTACAGGGTCATGCCGAACCGAAAGTCGCGTACCAAACGGTTCGACACAAATACATGTACCGTTACGGCCCTACTATATTCTAATCCTCACTCCAAAAACACTAAACCCCTGAGCTTGCCTGAGAAGGACTAAATGCACAAAGCTGCTATTTTTAAATATCCCATGGAGAGAGAGACTCTCACTGCAGCCTGTTCTATTTTGTTCTGAAAATGTGGGCGTGCAGCCTCGTTCTGTGGAAGATAAACCAGGTGCAGACTTCCATCTGTGTCACAGGTGAAGTGGAAATACAATGAAAGCTTGACAGACCATTGAGTGACAACAATTCCGCCCACATGTAAGAGTAGGCCTACTGTCTGCGATGGAAACGCTTAACCAAGCCAGAGTCTAGATACATGTCTGTTGGGGTTACTCTTGGTTCTGAAGATACTGTGCCTAAAGTTTTTGGTGGAAACAGGGCTTACTATATCCCATTATTGGTGTTGCGCTGTCAGGGCCTAACTGTTGACAAGCCCATTTACCATTTATCTTATTGGATCGGTTTAAAGTATTTCAAATGTTCAATACTTTTTTTGTCTCATAAAGTTTCTGACCAATAGTAAAATAACTTCTTTCAAATTCCTTTCTCCCCTTTTCCCCACTCGCGCTCTGTCTTTCACCCAGTGTACATCTTTCCTCTGGTTGTGTGTGTGCTCATGGTGGCGGTGCTGTTGGCTCTTGTAATGCTGCTCCTCTACAAACAGAAGACAATGACTTCAAACGGCACGAACGTGGAGGTGACTTTCTTTAACCCTGTCTATATCTGTTTAGTCTTTCTCTGGGCTTCTCTGATGGCCACTAATACCAAACAACTGTTAAGGACTGTAAAATTAAGTGGTATATTGAAGCTGCAGTAGTGGACTTTAGGAAGGCAGAAAAGACATCAAAACAAGATGACAAATATAATGTCACTACTGGATTACATGACCATAGTGCTTTATTTGAGTACAAATAAGAAAAGAAAAAGTTTAGGCAAATAAACAGTTGTTTTAATTTTCAGTGTGTTACCTATGAGAACCATCCGCCAGCCTCTACATGTCAAGACTCCGTCTACCAGAGCCTGGATCCAGCCAGCAGGGATCATGACCAAATCTACGCTATACAACACGAGACTATCTGAATTCAGACCAGAGGGGTCTACTACGAACCAAAATAAGCATGTTAGCGAGGTATGTTGAGCTTAAAGCCAGAGTTGTCAATGTTACGAAGATTGCACAGTATTGACATCAGTAGTAGGTTGGATGTGACTGTTTTTTCATATTGCTCTTTGTACTGCAGAGCTAGCTCAACTGACTATGTTGCTGTATGGAGGCCTCCTAACCCCTACATCTGTATCTCCTCACAGCAAATGCTTTTTGTTCTGTAGGTCATTTCTCACAAACATACCTGTAAAGATGAAAATAAAACAGTGTATATTTGCAGTTCACAGAGTTTAAATACTGAGCTATTATGTGGCAGAGAAACATATGTTAAATAAGTTGGTAAATTTACTGTAGCAGAACGTCAGGGAAAACAGTAATCCTGGTTCCTGATGTTATCACTTTCTCCCAAATTTTGGATCAAAGTTTTGCTGTACATGAAGGGTTATGGAGAGTTTCTTTAAGAAACCAGTTATTTGGTAGGTTTTCACCATTAATGTCTCTCTTCTGCTGATTCAACTGGCTGCGGTCACTGTGTCTCACTGTGGAGAGACTGCGACAGCGGTCCTCTTTGCCCATTTATTAGATCAGCAAGGAGTTAGGCATTGCTAAGATGGCGATGCTTGAGACTTCCACTGAGCTTCAAAAGGTCTTTTTCAGAAACCTTGGGGTGTTTCCGCGGAGCCTACATTCATTATTTTTACTGTCTGCTAGGTTCAAAGTATTTCTGCCTGGCCCTCCATATCACTGAAAATCTCTGTTACAAAGTCCTGGTGTATGTCGGGTGGCTGCTGCTCCTTAGCAGCTCCAGACACACTGCCACTAGTTTAGTGTTGCACAGTATACTGGTGCCAACGGTAGACCGCAGTACTAAAACACCACGGTACATACGATACCATAATGTTGGAGTACCGTAGTACCACGGTACCTCACGGTACACTACTGTGGGATAAGTTCAAAGTCCAATCACAAGAGGGTGAGTGTCCATGCACCGTCCAATAACAGCGCGCGCTGGCCACCTGGCACTCAATATGCTGCTGCAGTAGTTTGTTTTCCAGTGACATTTCAGGTATTAGCTGAGCTATTGAGTATCTTTAAGCAGTGAAAGTTACTATTTATCTCTTTTTAGTTGTAGGTTAGATTTGTTTATATATGCTACAGTAATTTGTTTTCCACAGAGCTCTACGGTGCGAGCATTTTACTGGCATTTGTGACTAAAAATAGTTTTGTGCAAGCAAAAGAAATCATTCAGGAGCAAGCTGTGCGAGTACAGATTTCAACCAGCAGCAGAAACGACAGGCGAATCCTGCCGGTTGTGGGTTGAACGGGGGTCACAGACAGGAATACGGCAGAGCATGATGGCCACCGCAAGATAACGGCTTACCGGCGACTGAGAAGCCCGGCTCCAGGTCCAATAATTTCCTCTTCGTTGGTGTCATGACTGCCCAGAAGTACCTGAACAGCCGAGACGTGGCGGCACACAGGTATGTGACGTGTCAGAGGAGAAACGAGCCGTTCACATTTCTCTCTTTGTGGCAGGTAACGGTCCACAAACCTCACCGCACTTTAGGGACTGTTCTATACTTATCAGAGGAGGAATCTAATAATGTTATAAAATCAGATCATCGTCACACGAGACATTTTACTGCTGATTGTGTCGAGCCTCAAGAGAAAGAACCTGATTTTGGAGATGCTCCTTAATTGATAGAAAGAGGACTGAACAACACTTGTCATTTGTTTTTCAAAGGTGTGGTCACTGTCAAATATCACACCAAGGGTTTTGGCTGCAGACTTCAGATTTTCAGATGAAAGGATAAGATGGTTTTGTAAAGTAGTCTGACTGCAGTACATGTCATAAAGTGTGTGTGCGTAAATATACAGTATATAGCTGGTGTAGCTGGTGCATGGCTCCCCTGGTATTACTATGTATTGGGCCATGTGCCTATTCATCTTAGCCACTATGATGCCTGACAGGAGCTTCCATGTTGTACTGTATCCATCTCTGTTTGCTGCTCTTTGTTTATTTTAATGTGTGATGTTAGACCTGTGGCTGCTGAAAGAGCTCTTTGTTTTGAAGAGTGTACTGTACCGCGGTATCATTTGACTTCATGCAAAGTGGCCACAGGCAACATGTTTTTCTTTATTTAAATGTAATTATTTTTGGGATCATAAACTCACACTGTGGTCTGTTTGTTCAGGTGCACCAAACGTCTGGGTCAGAAAACAGGTCAGCTAAGACTCAATGATGAACGACTGAATGCTGATGGTGATGAACCTGTCATTTTATTAGTTTATGATCTGCTTTCACAGGTTGTGTCCCTTTAAAGGGCCAGTGTTCAGTATGATCTCTGGCTTTCATCACAGACAAAGAAAATTACTTTTTAATTTAAAATTAAAATAATAAACTTGTTATGGTGAACTCACACAGTAAAGGCTTTTGTGCACCATGTCTGTATTTTTAATCCGCCATCTGATAAAAATCATTCTTCGATCTTGCTGAGTCCGATGTGATTTATTGTTTTATCCACTGTGATAATCTGGAACACAAGGCAAAATGAAAAGACACATTTGCTCCCTTGTTTCTCTCCACTGGAGTTACCTCCCTATAGGCTGTCAAGCTTTCAACTTCTCTGTATCGCTAGGATCAGAGTCAGACCTCTGCTCCCTGTCGCTCTCAGTCACTCAATCCTGACTAAAATATGCATAAAGTATTTCCTGAATTCACGTCTTATTACAGCATCACTAACTACGTTTATAATAATTCTGCTCTAACTAGTCTTCTGACTTTGTGCAGGCTGTGTCTCATCAATACTTCAACAATAATGCACAAACTACCGCATACTTTACTCTGTCAGTTCAAATCTTTCATGAGATGATCACAAAGTAACAATAATAGATTTATGATTCAAACAATTCATACCAATGTTTGAGTAGAAGAAAAGCATCACATTTATTTGTAGGAAGTTGATAACATTATAGCAAAGATTCTATTATAGGTTCAGGATTTGTTGCTCTGTGTGTTTGAAAATAGAATTCAATTCTCCTCTAGAAGTATAACATTGCTTGTCCTACATTTTGTTTTTGCCATGTTAGAAATTTGTTGGTGGGCATAAAATGCTGAGTGGCAAATGCATTCACACCACTAAATCAGGCTGCTTCCATGTCATTTATTTGCTTCTAAGTTATATCAAGTATGAGTGGGGGGGAAAAAAAATCAATACAGAATAGTATCACAATATTTTGCATGGCAATACTGGATGAAGAGGGAAGAGGTGAAGGTGAAGAGGGAGCTGAGCCAGAAGGCGAAGCTGTCAATTTACTGGTCCATCTATGTCCCAACCCTCACCTATGGTCATGAGCTCTGGGTAGTGACCAAAAGAATGAGATCGCGGATACAAACGGCTGAAATGAGTTTCTTCTGTGGGGTGTCTGGGCTCAGCCTTAGAGATAGGGTGAGGAGCGCAGACATACTGAGGAAGCTCGGAGTAGAGCCGCTGCTCCTTCGCGTCGTAAGGGGTCAGTTGCGGTGGTTCAGGCATCTGATCAGGATCCTCCTGGGCGCCTCCTGCTGGAAGTGTTTTGGGCACATCCCACTGGTAGGAGGCCCTGGGGCAGACCCAGTACATGCTGGAGGGATTACATATTGTATCTGGCCTAGGAACACCTCGGGGTCCCCCAGGAGGAGCTGGAAAGCGTTGCTGGGGAGAGGGACATCTGGGATGCTTTGCTTGGCCTGCTGCCCCCGCGACCCGGCCTAAGTTAAGTGGATGAAAATGGATGGATGGATGGATGGATACTGGATCAATACAGGAATGCAGTATCGATTCTTTCATTATATAAATTCATAATATTGGAACTACAAATTAAACTTTGGTAGAATACTAAAATAATAAAATCTGTTGCATTTTTGGTCCACTAGATACAAGCCTAAGAGTAAATGTTGGTGTATTACTGTAACATGGAGAGCAAACAGCCTCAAAGCTGAGAAAACAAGTTGCACGAGTTGTTTGGACAAAATGATGTTATATCTTCTTTTCCTGTTACAGTTCTGCTGAAGATCACAAAGTGTTGACAAATATCACTTCCTCTGTGGATGGAAAGTTCTTACTCTATCTTTAAGGTATATCTGATAAACATCAACACCAATGTCACATTCAGATGCACATCAGCACAGGATCAGGGCTGAATTAAACTGGTTCTTTCTTCATTACATTGTGTATTTTGAGTTGTTATATCTGAGTATTTTCATCTGTTCATGTTGAAATCTCATTTCTGGTCAGCCATGTGTGTTTTAAAGGTGACAAATAATTAAAAACTCACTGTTTCAGTGCTTATGCATGTACATTTAGGTATCTGGAGTACAAACTGGCCACAAACTGTGAAATAAGACAGCCCAGTGATTTAGATTTTTCTGTAGGCCGCCTCGGTCAGAAAACGTGTGATTCAACAAGCCATTCAGAGTTTTTCTATTTTTATGTTGTTAATGGTTTATTTTGCAAGTCAGCCTGTTAAAGGTAACGTTAGCTTGTTGCACGAGTAATGCCGCTAGCTTCAATAGACTATAAATAATGGATGTAGTTACAGACAGCCTGTCACTCAAGCAGCTGCACCCTTAAAGCGACACTTACCTTTCTGGATATTTTACGCTTTCACTTGTTTAGGTTAAAATGCTATTAATAAGCTGATGGCACACTAAAATGTAAGTGAATTCCACCAGAGATAAAAACTCATAATTGTACCATTCTCATAAGGTTCTTAGAAAACTCCAAGCATCCTGTCTGTCTTCCCCATGTGGAGGCCTCCGACTGACGTAACTGCTCGCGTAACATCTGTCCTGCTGTACAACTGTCATAAAAGTTGAAATTAGCTACGGAGATCAAAACTGTTTTTTTGTACCAGACTGTAAACATTTTAACATTGATGTCTATGGGGACTTACTCTGTTTGGAATCCAGCCTCAAGTGGCTGTTAGATGAACTGCTGTTTTTGGCAGTTTGGCATCTGCCTCATTTTTCAGTCCTGCAGGTTGCCGCTTGGTTACCAGGCTGGACAACATGGGACACTGACCCTTTAAAGGGACACAACCTGTGAAAGCAGATCATAAACTAATAAAATGACAGGTTCATCACCATCAGCATTCAGTCGTTNAACATGGGACACTGACCCTTTAAAGGGACACAACCTGTGAAAGCAGATCATAAACTAATAAAATGACAGGTTCATCACCATCAGCATTCAGTCGTTTATCATTGAGTCTTAGCGGACCTGTTTTCTGACCCAGACGTTTGGTGCACCTGAACAAACAGACCACAGTGTGAGTTTATGATCCCAAAAATAATTACATTTAAATAAAGAAAAACATGTTGCCTGTGGCCACTTTGCATGAAGTCAAATGCCGCGGTACAGTACACTCTTCAAAACAAAGAGCTCTTTCAGCAGCCACAGGTCTAATGTCACACATTAAAATAAACAAAGAGCAGCAAACAGAGATGGATACAGTACAACATGGAAGCTCCTGTCAGGCATCATAGAGGCTAAGATGAATAGGCACATGGCCCAATACATAGTAATACCAGGGGAGCCAAGCACCAGCTACACCAGCTATATACTGTATATTTACGCACACACACTTTATGACATGTACTGCAGTCAGACTACTTTACAAAACCATCTTATCCTTTCATCTGAAAATCTGAAGTCTGCAGCCAAAACCCTTGGTGTGATATTTGACAGTGACCACACCTTTGAAAAACAAATGACAAGTGTTGTTCAGTCCTCTTTCTATCAATTAAGGAGCATCTCCAAAATCAGGTTCTTTCTCTTGTGGCTCGATCTTGAGAAGGTCAACCCTGGTCACCCATGGAGATTAGACGCATGCTCCTTAAAATGTTAAGAATGCCAGTGTAAGCACCATAGCATGATGGTGTGAGCATTTAGCCCAATAACAAACTCCTCTTAATTCATGAATGAATAAGTTCTGTCTTATCCTCTATCACTGCCTTAAAATGACTAACGATCATTCGCTACAGACTGTGGTCAGTATTTGTCTCTCGCTGTGGTCCAACAAAATGTCGTCAAACATGTTTCTGAAAAAGGGGAACATCCCTGAACAAACACACCGCATCATCTCCATGAACTTATGAATAATTAAATTTGAATTAGTGTATGATAATCAAAGAATTGTTTCCTGTTCCCACTTTACATGAAGTCAAATGATACGGAGGTACTGTACTCTGCTCAAGTTAACAATGAGCCATTTCAGCAGCAGCCTGTCTGAAGTCACACATTAAGATAAACAAAGAGCAGCAAACAAAGATGGACACAGTTCTGCTCATTATGGCAGGTAAGTGTTTTATAACTGTTTATATTTTTTTCTGACAGTACACTGAGAAATCCTCGTGGCTACCAAGCTAACAAATGTTATGATGCACTATAATAATTGATGTACGGACTAATGCAGACTGAATACACACATTCTTCACACGGCTGGATAAAGACCGACAGTACCGAGGCCTCAGGTCTGAGGGTTCTGCCACCGTCACCATGTCGGCCACTTGCACTGAAATATTTCTGTTTTTCCAGACTTCATGTATTTATATGTGCTTACAGAATCAGCAGTAAAATGTCTCGTGTGACGCTGATCTGATTTTATAACATTATTAGATCGTTAATACTGAAGCTTCGGTGTTAGAGCAAGTTTTAATTTCTTTATACACAGTTAGCTAGTTTAGTTCAGTGGGTACCAACCTAGGGGTTGGGTCCCTGCAAAGGGCCGCCAGATAAATCTGAGGGCTCATGAGATCATTCATCAACTTACAGATGCATACATTTGTAATGATTTATGGTACTTTAATCTTTGTTTGTTTGTGAAGTATTGGATCATGTTAGCAGTTACTGAAGACATCTGACATCTGCTTTAATATAGGACGATGTAATGTTTACATTTGTCATGTTTTAAGGTAAAATCTGNATTGGATCATGTTAGCAGTTACTGAAGACATCTGACATCTGCTTTAATATAGGACGATGTAATGTTTACATTTGTCATGTTTTAAGGTAAAATCTGAAAAAAAAACCTGCAGTGTAAAATGTAATGGAGTAGAAGTATAAAGTCGGTTACATTCCACGACTGATGTTACTACAAAGACAAAGACATGTCTGAATACACTCTGATGTGACGTGACAAAGTGAAGAGATATAAAAAGTCATTTATAGTCTGAATCTGATCACTATGCATGTGTGTCACTACAGGGCTGTGTGCTGTCTCATCACATGCTGAACGTCAGTACCATATTATTTATGACCAGAAGAACTGGACTGAAGCACAAAGTTACTGCAGAGAGAAATACACAGACCTGGCTACTGTCGACAACATGGAGGACGTGACGACCCTGATCAACATGGCAGATAGAAGCAGAATGGTCTACTGAGATGAAAACAACGTTAGTTCACTTTGCTCTGTCTTTCATTTAAAAGTCATTTTTGACAATAATGTTAAAGACAGGTGGTTTGAAAGTGTGAAAATCTGATCCTACATAGTAACTAATTACCAAGTGTAGTACAGTAAAAGTACAGTACTCCCTGTGAAATGTCGTAGAGTAGAAGTATAAAGTGTTTTTAGTATAAACTTCCCTCATGGTGTTTGAGCAGACAGTGTTTCCCTGTTGAGCTGCAGTGGAGGGATGGTAACAAAAGGAGGAAGACTCTAACTTTGGAAGATCTCCACAGACAGATGAAGCCTCAGATTAACTTCACATCAATGTTTGAATATATTTTACACAGAAAGAGTTTGTTCCCCATCACTTGTTTTTAAAAATTTTAAACCTCACCTTTAAGAGTTTTACAGAATTGAAACTCTCAACAAAAGCTAGAGCAAGGTCTAATTATTTTTTTCAATCTTGTTTTCAGCGAGCCTGGATAGGGCTGTACGATGACGTGGACAGCTGGAGGTGGTCACTGTCTGACACAAGTTACTACAAAGACGGGGAGACAGAGTTCAGACAATGGTCATCTGGAGAGCCAAATAATGAACACAGTGGAGAACACTGCACATGGATGTATGATAGTGGCCTTTGGAATGATGCCCCATGTGCATGGCAATATAAGGCAGTCTGCTCAGATGTCAGAGGTGAGAATATTAACTTACAGTTAGTTTCTTGACCTCTGACCCTTCTCTGCTTCTCTTTGCCTCTGAAGCAGGTTCATATAACGTTTGTTGACCCTTACAGCTGGAATATTAACACAGGTTCATTTTACGTCACTGTCTCAGTCAAAAGAGGTGCAAGAAAAGGAGGCAAAATAGCTCTGATGTGTCTTTATGGATGAATGTGGGACTGGACGCCTGCATGTTCATATGCACACAGATAAATGGTGATTTCACCTTCAGGCTGAGATTCATAAGGAAAAAAACTGTATGTGCTCAGTAAATCAGAAAAATAATTCATCCATCCAAAAACTAGAATTACCGCCTGTGGTTGTGTGCCTTTGTAAACTAGTCAAGTTACAGTTTACATCCATGCCTGTCCAGACTCATGTAGCCATGACAGTCAACAATGCTGCAAAGATGATACAGATTCTAAAACATGGATGCTTCACACACATCTCCAACTCTGAATATCTGCCAGTAAAGTGTTTTTGCAGAACATTATGATGTCACAGTGATGCTGACCTTTGACCTTTGGGATATAATCATCACTTCATGATTTCATCATGAGACACTTGTGTGAAATTTAGTCATAATTAGTGTATGAATTCTTGAGTTATGGTAAAAACAAAATTTTTGTGACTTCACGGTGACTTTGACCTTTGACTGGCAAATTTTAATCAGTTCATCCTTGAGTGCCAGAGGACGTTTGTGCCAGATTTGAAAATATTGCCTTAAGGTGTTCTTGAGATCACATTCATGAGAATGGGATGGACAAATGGACGGAGGGACAACCTGAAAACTAAATAAAAAACTAAATAATACGTATTTATGTTGTATGCAATGGTGTCTTTTCACAGCACTTCACTGTGGTCTATTTTCAGGGTCTAATGTGACATTTGTCCTCACTGACGCCTCCATGACATGGACTGAGGCCCAGAGCTACTGCAGAGCAAACTACACAGACCTGACCAGTGTGAGAAACATGACAGAGAACCAGAAGGTACAGGAGCTGATACCTGCAGGAGAACGTGTCTGGATCGGCCTCTTCAGAGACTCCTGGAAGTGGAAGGATGGAAGTAACTCATCATTTAGGTACTGGAAACTGGAAACTAAGGAACCTAATAACAGCCAAGGAAAGGAGGCTTGTGTGGCTGCAGACTTTGGCCAATCTGGAGGATGGGAGGACTGGAACTGTGACTTTGAGAGAGCGTTCATTTGCTCCAGCGGTAAGCTGTCATTTATTTAGCCTTTAAATGTGGAGTTAGATTAACTTTATTTGCAGATACAGTAGACAAACTCCTCAAACAACAAACAGAAAAGAAAATGTCCATACTCATAAAGTTATGTAGATAATACATTTTAACATCTGTAATGTTGATAATGTTCATGAAAATATTTGGACAATTAACATGCTGTAGGGATCAGCTGCAGATGAGTTTTTGATGTGTCATAAGTCCAGTTCAGACCAAAGATTCAAGATGAGGAGAACTGAAACAAGCAACTACTTGAGATGAGCCGCACTGCAACCAGATGAGACGTGTATCATCTCTACTCAACAACTCTCTGTACTTCTGATCTGTAACGTTGACAGGAAGTGACCACCATGAGACGGCGCATCATCTCTAGTCAACAACTCTCTGTACTTCGTTCTGATTTGCAGCTTTTCAGACTTATTTTGTGGCTGAATATAATTTGTAGCTTCTTAAAATATGAATGAGGATAGTGATAGTGAGATACTGGCTACAGTGATGAAACAAAACCAGCATCAGATGGACTGTATTCATAATCAATACGCCACAATAATATAAATAACCAGCGCCAATTCATCAGTCAATGAGAATGTGTGTGTGTGGGCGGGGCATAAGCATATACAGCCAGCAGCAGCAGCGACCCACCGTCTGACACCGGCACACTGTGAGGACAGAAACAGAGGGCTCTGTGGGGATGGAGCACCTGCTGCAGCAGGCAAACACATCATCTGTGGCCATTTTGACTTGACCAGCAGACTTCACTACAAGCTGATTGGCTGTTGAAACAGGCGACGTGCTTTAAAACCAGCCGCCAGCCATCTGACCAGCTGAGTGTCAGGTGACACCATCAGCCAGCTTGAGTCGAGCTCAGACCGGCCAGTTCACACTGCTGAAACTTTTCTCTGCAACGTTCTAAAACAGTTTCGTCTTGTCACGGATGTTTAGTCTGAACTGGGCTCAAGACCGGCAGAAACCAGCAATAAGGTCCATGCTAAGATAAGCTAAGATTTTCTTGGGTCATAAAACAGCTGCCTTTAGAGATTAAGCTGATGGAAAATGTAATACCTTATTTTTCCTCTATCGTTTAAAGTGTCAGTGCCTGTTTCAAAGAAAGCAATGAAAGTGATGAAGGTGAGGTTTGAGACACAGGACTCCTCTCTGGATATGAATGACCCTGTTGTGATGGAGGACATCTTAAAGAAGGTAAATATTTCTAATATTACAATAAACAGAACGACCAGGTCATTTGTTTGATTTGGCTGACTACTAAGAACGTTGTAAAAATGCTATATGCAGCGTAAGCATGTATGTCTCCATTATTGAGGGCAGATGTGTCAAAAATCATGCAAACAATGAAGCAGTTACAGTTTAGTAAGGAGTTTTTCTCTGTTGGTGATATTCAGGAAAGCAAATGTTTTTGTATCTCAGCTCAAACAGAGGCTGAGGCACCAGAGGCTGAATGACGACATCAAGCTGAGCTGGAGGAAGCAGCCAGATGGGAAAGTCTTCCACAAGGAAGAGAAGAAGACAAGGAAGAAGAGCAGTCCGAAAAAAGATGAGCTTTAATCTTTCAGTCCACTCTTCTGTCATCTTCAACTTGCTTTTCTGCTTGTTCTTCACAATAGCCCTCATTTATCAACCTAACTTACAAACCAGCGCAGATCTGAGCGTAGAAATCTTACGAGAGGATTTGTGTGTAACTCATGAAACGTTCCTATCTTCAGCATAGGAACGATCGGGTGTTGACAAATGTGACAACTGAAAACAATCATCATTTACAAATTCTGCCCCAATAAATTCTGGGTTAATAGGCCACACCCCTAGAGTTTACAACATGGAGATACAGCAAAGAAGAGAGACCTCTCTAGGCTAGAAATGGAAACACTGATGTCCCAGGTCCAATTTCATCAACTGTATGTGCAACCCATGTATACTTGTAATAGCATGAGTTGGACAGACAGTTCAGTGTGGTGTCAGCAGTGATGCAGTCGTTTTTGAATTACAGAATGAACTACATTCCATCCCTTACCTGTGTCATGAGCTTTGGGTACTTACCAAAAGAATGAGATCAAAGATACAAGTGGCCGAAATGAGATTCCTTCATAGGGTGTCTGGGCTAGACCCCGGAGGGGAGAGAGAGCTCGGAGTACAGCCTCTTCTCCTTTGTGTCCAAAGGGGCCAGTTGAGGTGGTTCAACATCTGATCAGGATTCTCAAGGCGCTTCCCTTTCGGATGTGTCCCAGGCACACCCAACTGGTACGACACCCCGGGGTAGACCTAAAACACACTGGGGAGGTTGTATATCTCATGATGGATGGATGGATTTTTTTTTGATAACTGATTACTCATTTAATTCGGGTTTCATTTTGAGGTTTGAACTGTTGGTTGGACAAACTAACATTTGAAGGCATCACTGTGAGCTCTGGTCTTTCTCAATATTTTCTCTTCTTACATTTTACAAACTAAACAATAAATGAATTGATCAAGAAAATAACCAGCAGATTAATCCATTATTGCTCCACCTCGACCAAGTACCAGAGTCAAAAGCTGCTGTAACATGCATGTATGAGTAATAATGATCTCATAAATTATATAATAGTATGCAGGATGTATCATACCAAACACTCTCAATGAGCCATTTCTCTGCATTGACTGCTTTTACTTTGATATTTAAAGTGAATTTTCTGATTATAATTAAATACTTTTATTAAAGTACCATTTTCAATGCAGGACTTCGTTCGAAAGTATTTTAACAGTGTGGTGTTGGTACTTTTACTTATTACATTATCTTACATAGACCATGTACAAAAACCATTCCTCTCACACAGAGAGAAGAGATGCATTGTACCAAATGTAGCCACAGGCTGGTTTCCAGTGAAGAAAGTAAAGGATTTGGATACTTCCTCTTTCTGCTGGTTTGACCAGTCAGACTTTATGCAAACACAAAATGATTTGAATGTTAGAAATGACTCCGAAGAGGAACTTGCTGAAAACAGTGTCAACATCTACATGCCATTATTTATGTAACTAGAGGTGTATCAAAGAAGAAGCATAATAGCCATGTTGTTAAACGTTCTGTTTCACTATCTTTTAATGTTCAGCCATGTTGGCAGCGTGGCTCAATGGATGCCAAAGTTGGCCGGTCTTTGGTCCACACTGATATATTTCAGCAACTGTTGGATGGTTTGCTGTGCTTTGGTATGAAATTCATGAACCTCAGAGGATGAACCCAACTGACTTTGGTGAATTCCTGACCTTCTCCTCTAGCGCCACCATGGGGTTGGCCTTTGTGGTTCACACTAAAATATCTTGATAACAATACGATCACACGCCATGAATTTTACCACAGATATTCAAGGTTCCAGGAGGATATATTCAAACAACTAAGGTGATCCTCTAATCTCTTTAATCAGATATCTGCATGCAGAATCTGTAGGCAGCAGTAAAAGATTTTGGTATCAGATACATTCTGGTTTCCATGTGCATTCCAAGCAGTGTTGACCAATCACGTTTTAGCAGGCTTTAATTTGCTGCAAGTAAACAGTTCATCTGGAGAGTAAGGAGGCAGAAAGCATGGGCCGAAATGCAGTCTTGGAACCCTTCAGCTGATGTCTGACAATTAATGTCTGACAGCATTTGATTAATCTGCATTCAGACATTCATTCATTAATTTTCTGTAACCTATTATCTTGTTAGGGGTCGCCATGGTGGAGCCTATCCCAGCTGACACTGGGTGAGAGGCAGGATTCACCCTGGACAGGTCACCAGACTATCACAGGGCTGACACATAGAGACAGACAACCATTCACAGTCACATTCCAACCCAGGATTACAGAAAAATCATATACAATATAGTACATTATTCCAGCATNGCCCTCCTGACTGTTCCAAAGTTGAGACTTAAATCTAAAGGCAACCGCGCTTTTTCCATCAGGGCCCCTCGACTTTGGAACGACCTGCCTGAGGACATAAGGCTTGTAGAATCAGTAACATCTTTTAAATCTCTTCTTAAAACCCATTTTTATAGACTTGCCTTTATGTGATGTCGTCTTTTTATTTATTCTTTTTATTTATTTTATTCTATTCCTTTTAATTGTTTATTCTTTGTTATTCTGTTGTCATTATGCAATGTTGTCTTTTTATCCTTCTATTCTTTTGTTTCTAAGTATTTAGAAATAATAGTTTTATTGCCTTTATTGTTCTTACGTATCTCTTTTATCGTTCTGTCTTTGTCATACTGTCTGTGTTTTGCTTAACGTCACCTCAGTTTTAGCTTAATTTTGTCCTGCTTTTGTTTACCCTCACTGTTTTGACTCTCTGGGCTCTAGTTGCCCGGCACGGCACAGGGTGGCGCAGGGTGGCGAACCCCGCGCAGAGCTAGTTTCGAGCAGCGCAACCCAAGGCGCGCTCAGTTTGTTAGTTTGGCAGACTGAGGTGTGCTGAGATGGGTGTGGCGGCGCAGCAGGGGGAGGTGTCGACAGATCCAGCTTGGCGCAGTGACAGTTTCGTGCCAAAAGGCTTTGCCGAAAGTGTGCTAAAAGCTCGCCAGCTGAAACCAGGTCTACTGTCAGCGCGGGCGGAGCGCAGCCGGTGTAAGCCAAAGTTTGGCTGACCGGCGGACAGTGCGCACACGTCACCAAAACCTCACAGGCAGGTTTCCAGAATATCAGGCACATTAACAATGCAATAAATACCCACAAAAACCACTATTCAATGCAACTATCTGCAATCAGCACATAAATGTATCTCTATATCGACTGTCCCGTCACATCTGATGTCAGATCAAAGGGGATTGGCACCGTTTGGCACGTTTGGCACGCGTAATGGAAACCCAACCTGATTTGATTAACACAGCTGCAAACTAATGAGTTCACATCCCTCTCAGCCAACCACAAACAGCCACAGCATCAGATAGGGAGTATATATTCAGCATCTGTCATCTTAGAAAAGTCAAAAGAAAAGAAACAGAGTGAGACTGCGAGAGAGAAAGAGAGAGCGCGTGCACGAGAGAAACGCAACATTGATTTACAATTGTGGTGACCTCCTCCCAGGCTACCTTTGCATCATCAGCCCGTGGAGGTCTGCTTGCAGTTCCGTATATTCGGACACTGCGAGCTTGGACCTCCCGGACCAAAACATCAGTTTCCTCCTGGGAGGAGTTTGGCCGTCTGATGCTGCTGCTCTCTTCTGCCATGGCGAATTGAGTAAACTGTCATTATGCCTTCGGGTGGCGCATTTAAGGGCGAGGAGAGGGGCTCATTTGATTGGTGTGATGTGTGTAAAACCCACTCCACGCCTTCTCTCCTCCCTCTTTCCGACTTGCACAGGTAGGAGGGACAGAGGTGGGAAAGAGGAGTAGCTGCGCCAGGTGCATGGTGTGCCAAACCTGCAAAATCCGCCTGGCCACACCCAGCTAGCGAAGCGCAGGTGCGCTGCGCCCCTGCCTCGCCCGGTCTGCGAAACTAGAGGCCTCTGTTACTATAGATATCCTGTGTTTGCTTTGTTTGTCAAAGCACTTTGTAAACTTTTGTTTTTAAAGGTGCTATATAAATAAAGTTATTATATTATTATTATTATTATTATTATTATTATACACTCATTTACTCATTTTCCGTAACCGCTTATCTTGTTAGGGGTCGCCATGGTGCTGGAGCCTATCCCAGCTGACACTGGGTGAGAGGCAGGGTTCACCCTGGACAGGTCACCAGACTATCACAGGGCTGACACATAGAGACAGACAACCATTCACACTCACATTCACACCTACGGACAATTTAGAGTCACCAATTAACCTGCATGTCTTTGGACTGTGGGAGGAAGCTGGAGCACCTGGAGGAAACCCACACTGACACAGGGAGGTCAGACTCTGCACAGAAGGACCCAGGGTTCGAACCCCCACTGTGGATTCATACTAGGAACCCTCTTTTATCATATATAGTAAAAAGGTGTTTTGCTTATTTTTTAAAAGATGTTTTTCATGTGAAGAAGGCCATGTTAAAGGTTGTTTCACCACGGGAGAAGCCAAGAAGTGAGATTCTGGTCTTAACTCAGTTTTGACAGAATATGTAGTTTGTAACACACTTTGTCTTTGTACAGCAGAACACTCCTGCCAAATGTTTTAAAGTATGAAAAAGTGGATCCATTGTAGAATGAATCTTTATAATGTAATGGAAAAGTCACTGCCTTTAAATGACTAATGATCATTCACTACAGAGTGTGGTCACTGTTTGTTTGTGGCTGTGGTCCAACAATGTGGCAGGCCTGTCAGACATATCTTTGAAAACAAGGAAAACGGCTGAGTTTATTGCCTAATATGTAAATAATTGTTTAGTCAGAACACTTTGCATGAAGTTAAAATTATAGTGAGGTACTGTGAGGCGTTTGTGTTGAACATCAGGAGCTATTTCAACAGCTGCAAGTCTGAAGTCACGCATTCAACAAACTGAGAGCGAACAAGATGGACACAGTTCTTCTGCTCATCACAGCAGGTCAGTGTTTATTTTATCAATGTTTATTCTTCTGTTACAGCACTTTGATATATCCCCTGTTTGATTATTTGTTTTACATTTGAATACATTTTTGAAGTCTGGTGCTCAAACACTAAAGGGCACCCCTTAAATTACACACAGTAGCACATCTTTTACTCATATTTATTGAGACTATTTATTTCAGTATCCTCACAGTCATACAGTCAGACATGTTCGTCTGAACATGGGTGGGGACACATACTAAGTGAGGGGGTGTGGGCCCTTTTCAGCATCAAATACTTAATTTCCTTTTTTCTGGAGAATTTTTCTGCATCAATTTATGACGCAAATGTCTTGTTGCCGCTCTGACACACAGACACACTCTGAGGACAATTTCTTCGTCAAACGTTCCTCAGTTAGATTTGAGTGCTGAGGAGGAAGAGTGTTCTGGGGGAAGTTTGGTTTATTGACATTTAATTTAGCCTCTTACAAACATATTTGTATTCTACATTCTTTTGTTATCTACCCATCAGAACCCTTTAATTTGACCTGTGGTCCGGTTCACATTTGCTATATTCACTGTTGGTTCATAAAATTAAAATCACATTTTTTAGATATAATCCACCGCCTTAAAATTTGTAACTGATGTGTTAACTAATGTAACAACAACCTGCCTAGGGACGACAGATGGAAATTAGCCGTGGGCTACAATCTGGCATTTTTACATGTACTACTGTACTATGTTCATTAATATGTACTGTCCCTACCTTTAATAAATCAATAAATTGTAATTGTAAAATATTCTGAAGGAATCGCAGAGAACAGCTGCGTGCAGCGGCTGCAGCTCTTTGCACACACAGTGTTCCTGCAGCACCAAACCACATGTCAGATTTCTTTCAAAGAATTATCAGTGCCGTGATGTGAGAGACACAGACATTATTTTAAGTTAAGTTTTGGGTTATGAAGACGTGGAAGAAGGATAGCAGTTGAGTGTCTGTCTCCACTCGCACCAGGCTGTCGGTGAACCTGAATCTGCCAGAAAGGTGGAGGGACACGGTGTGATTGTACGCCAGACTGGCTTACTTGTTGTTAAGCTCAATAGTGGGTTATTGCCTACGTTAGTCAGGCTGTATTTAGATGTTTTTATCGTTGTTTTATTTCACA